CTATAACTATTACTTTTTAATCGGAGCAACTCAAATATTTTCGCTGACTACGAATATACAATTCGCCGACGTGATCCGTTATTTTGCCGACAGGATGTTTTCAGCCGGGGTGTCCTCCCTGCCAATGAGCCGCACGGACAACCTCGTTCCCAGGATCTCTCCTTCTCCCAAAGAAAGATCCTGGGTACGAGGTTGCCGCACGGACTGCCACCTAAATTTAAAACAAACGGTTTCAAAACTCTCATGATGGGGATTTGATTAATTTGTTCGCAATAAGCAAAGAATTGCAACGAAGTTATAAGACAACAGTATTATTATGAATTTATGAAAGGACTAGACTGAATATGACACGGCACCGCAGATTAGAATATCCTAGGATATTTGTCAGGCGTACATCATATGCACAAAACGCCACTCGCAAAAATCAGCAAATATCAAATAAACCGCAGATTGTTGCTGAATGAGTTAAATTTTTGTTGTTTCGAAGTGATTTCCCAATGCAGTATATATACACTCGATCAAATAGACCCTGCACGTCTAGCCATCTCAAATGCGCTTTTAGGCTTTCCCCGAGCCCTTTCCAGTTTTTTTCGCAGTTTTCGAGATCGACTTGTGGTCAAGTTTAATGCGCTTTGTGCTTTTTCTTTTCTTCACATGGACCAGACTGTGATTGGCTGAGAAGCACTTTCAGCGGCCATTATTTTCCCAAACTCTCCATGTAATCAGCCCTGAGGAAACGCTTGCCCAAATTGGCTATGACAAATTGTTTTTGGGTGTTTTGTATTCCGAGTAATGAGTAATGAGTAATGAATTTTTGTACTCGCTTTGGAAAGATAAACCATGAAAACATTGACAGTGATTCCATGCCCTTGCCGTGAATAATCATAATGCTGTGATATAGTGTCGGCAGTTTAAACTGCATGGTATGATCAAATATGGCCATAATTTCGCTTATAGCATACTCGTTTTTAAAAGTATGTCACATATTAACCAGTTTAGCCTTCAAACCGTTTGTCTCCAAGTTGAATAACATGTTCGCAATAGTAGAATACAAGTAAACATGGCTATGGTTTTATAAACTGAAAACTTAGTTATCGACATTTCGCATGGGAAAAACCTGAATTTAGCCGAACAAAATGGTATGGAAATTAAGTGCTTTCGAGCTTAAAAACGTTTGGACGTCAATTGCGGATTTTATACGGGCTGCATGACCGCAGATAGCAAAACAAATATGACGATCGAAAATTTATCATAAAACCAACTTTATCACTCGGACAGCACAGTCTTGTATTCTACAGTATACTATTGCGAACATGTTATTCAACTTCGGGACCGACGATCGTTTTGAAGGCTGAACTGGTTAATATGTGACATGCTAAAAACGAGTTATGCTATATATGAGCGAAATTTATATGGCCATATTTGATCATACCAGTTTATACTGCTGACATCATCACAGCATCATAATTATTTACGGCAAAGTGTGTGTGGAATCACTGTCAAGTACGAAAATTCATTACTCATTACTCGGAATACAAACACTGGCATTAATAATGATTGACGTTTTGTAATTAGCACCTTCACCGGTAGAGTCATGGAGTCATAACGGATAAAACCACAGTTTATAAACTGTGATAAAACTTAATTCGTTCAATTAATTAAATTCGTTTGAATTAAAAATTCGACGATAGTGCGACGTATGAAACAGACCTAACCTTTAAATCCTCCTATAATTTTAGAGCAAAACTGGATGCTCAGAATATATGCAGGAAGTGCATGGCATTTCAATTCTGGGCTTCAAATTTCAAAGATTTCCCCCCAGACCCCCTATTTATGTGTGGTATGTCCAACCTCGTCCCCAGGGTCTTCCTCGTGGTGGCGCGTGAGCTGAGGAAGACCCTGGTAAAATACGATGAAATCTCCAGGATTCTTGGAGATTTATCGCATGCGCAGTAACGACAACGTTATGTTGCTGACTACAATTAGCGCTGGCGCTACGATTTTCTTGCTTGAAAATATTCTTGCTTAAAAATATACATGTTTTGTTGATTGTTTATGGATTTTATATTCTCAAAGTTTTAACAACTTTTACGAAAAATACTTCAGATATAAGCTGTGAACACACATGTACACAAAACTGTGCAACATTTATGATCATATTGTATCAATTTGTCGGAGTATGGCGCTCAAATTTGTGACATTGTTTTGTTCGCTTTGGCAACCCTCGTATATATCAGTGATGCTGTTCGGCCTCAAATGCGACTGAATAAACACTGATAGTGTTGCCTGGAATATGAAATGATATTGACTTATTGTTCTGTATATCAAGGTATGTAATGTACATTTATACTGAATTTATTCGAGTTTTTTCACACGTTGCTTTCACATTTTCTCGGAGTCTCGGAAATCACATTTTCTAATAAACTCAGTTTCACACATACAGCAAGACTTCATTTCACACATACAGAAAGACTTCTTCAGAAATCACAGTTTTTACTGTAACATATAGAAAAACTTCATATTATCTCACCAGTTAATCTAATTATGATAACAGTACGTAGTAGAAATGCTTAGAAAGATTTTA